GAGTGGGAGAAGAGAAAGGAGAAATTGGATGGAGTGATTCTTCAAATTTAGTTTTTTTTGTTTTTGTTTTTTTGTCTTTTTCCCTTTTCCTTTTTATCAGTACCAGGGATTGAACTCACGACTGCCTGCTTGTAAGGCAGGCGCTTATGCCACTGAGCTAAATCCCCAGCCCCTCAAATTTAGTTTTTAATACCTTCCAAATTTACTTGCTTCTAGTATAATCTTTTATATTTATTTAGTGGTTTTTTTTTTTTTTTTTGAGACAGGGTCTCATTATGTAGTTCAGGCTGGTCTTGAACTCACTATGTAGCCCAGGGTGACCTCAGTCTGGCAGTGATCTTCTATGTGCTAGGATTACAGGTGTGTGCCCCCACAGCCAGTGGTCCTAGTATAATCTTTTAAATATAACTAAAATGCTAGTTTTTGGAAATGTTCACTTCACATCTTCAAATATGGGTTATATGTGTTGTTTTGTTTCATTGTACTAAAAATTTAGGAAGGGCTGGGGATATAGCTCAGCAGCATATCACCTGCCTGGAAAGCATGAGGTTGTGAGTTCAATTCTTGTTACCAAAAAACTAAACAACAACAACAAAAAACCTTAGGAAGTAACTAATTCATTTTACAGATGAGAAAATAAAGTTCAGACATTTGAGGTAATTCTTTGTGTGTCACTAAGCTCCTGAGAAATGGGACGAAACCAGTTCTGATTTAGGTGTGGTCCCAAAGGCTAATAAAATAGATACTATCTCCATGTTCACCTGAATGAATGAACATGTTAAGTAACTTGGCCTAAGGTCACATAAATGGTAACAGTGGTGTTAAGATTTGAATTTGAGTGTGATTTTCTCTCAAACACATGGTTTTTATTAGGTGCAGTGGTGAGCACCTGTAACCCTAGTGCTGAGGCAGGAGGACTTTTTTTGATATGAGTTTGAGACCAGACTGGGCTACATAGTAAAACCCTATCTCAAAAAACCAACCCAACCAACCAGGCTTGAGGATGTAGCTCAGTGGCTCAGTGTCTGCCTGGCAATCACGAAGCCCTGAGTTCAACTGCCAGTACCAAAAAACAAAACAAACAAAAATAAAAAACCTACAGTTTAGCCATGCATGATGGAACATAGCTGTATTCCCAGCACTTGGAAGACAGGCAGGTGAGTTTGAGGACACCCTGTGTTACACAGTGATTTCAAGGGCAGCCTAAAGTATACAGAAATACATAGGCAGATCCTGTTTTAAACCAAAACAAGCTGGGCATGGTGGCACATGCCTGTATTCCCAGCACTTACGAGGCTGAGGCAGAGGCCAGCCTGGTCTATGTAGTGAGTTCAAGGCCAGCCTGCACTACAATGAGAGACCCTGTCTCAAGAAAAAACAAAATCAAGAACAAAAACAGAGGAAAACAAACCTATGATTTAATGTATTTTTAATTCTCCTTTTTAAAGGGGGTGTCACTATGCTGCCCAGCGTGGCCCAAACATCTAGGTTCAAGGGTCCTTCTCCCTTAGCTTCTAAGTGCTGGGATGACTGCATACCAACCTGCCCAGTGTTTAAAATTCTAAGATATACTGAACATTATGGAATACAGAAGGAGACTAGAATATTGGAATTGATCTAGCAGTTTTACTTCTGGGTATTTACTCATAAGATTTCTGAAATCAGAAAGCTTCAAAAAAACTAGAGAAACTGAATGGGATGGTATGTGCCTTTAGTCACAGCATTAAGGTAGAGGAGGCAGAAGGAGCCCTTAAACTCAAGAGGGTGAGTCCAGACTGGGAAACGTAGTCCAGCCACATCTGTATTTTATTTTCTAATTTTAATTAACTAATTAATTAATTTTTATCTTTACTGGGGATCGAACTCACGACCACACATTTGCAAGGCAGCTTATGCTGCTGAGCTAAATCCCCAGCCCCAATTTTAATTTAATCTTTTAAAAAAATTCTTTTTTTTTTTGGGTACTGGGGATTGAACTCATGACCTCACATATACCAGGTAGGTGCTTATGCTGCTAAGCTAAATCCCCAGCCCTAATCTTTAAATTTTTTCTGTCCATTATTTTTTTATTCCTACTCTCTCCCTTTCTCTTTTCTTCTCTCCTCCCTTATTCTCCTTCCCATTTGAACATTTTCCTTCCCACTTCCTAATTTCTGCCCTCCATTTTGATTCTTACTTACCCTTTGGGTAAATAAGAGAGACAATGTGATGTTTAAACATGTGTGTTTGATTGATTTCACTTAAAATTATATTCTCAAGGTGCATCCATTTGGCTAAACTGTCTTAAGTTTCTCTTTCTTTATGGCATAGTACTCCATTTCTATAAAAGCCACATTTTCTTTATTAATCCATTGATGGACATCTGGGCTGTTTTCAAGGTTTAGCTATTGTAAATTGTGCTGCTATAAACATGAGTGTGTATATATATCACTGTACTATGATGCTTTTAACTCAGGAAGATATCAAGAAGAGGAATAGCTGGGTCAAATGGAACCTCTAGTTTTAGTTTTTTGAGGAATCTCTACACTGATTTCCAGAGTGGCTGCACCAGTCTACCTTCCTACCAACAGTGGAGAAGGGTTCCTTTTTCTCCCCACATCCTCACTAGCATTTGTTATTGGTTGATTTACAAGGTGATGGTCATTTTTTCTGAGATGGAATCTCAGTGTTGTTTTAATTTGCATTTCTTGAAATGATCAGTGAAGTTCAATTTTTTTTTTCCTTTTTATTGGTACCGCGGATCAAACTCACGACTACCTGCTTGCAAGGCAGGGGCTTATGCTGCTGAGCTAAATCCCCAGCCCCAGAATATTTTTTCATGTATTTATAAGCTGTTTGCACTTTTTTTTTTGGGGGGGGTACTGGGGATCAAATTGCTGTTTGCACTTCTTCTTTTCTTTTTTTTTTTTTTTTTTTTTGGTACCTGGTATTCAGGACCTCAAGCTTGCAAGGCAGGCACTTACACCTGCTGAACTAAATCCCTGGCCCTGTTTGTATGTCATCTCAGAAGTGTCTGTTCATTTGAGATGTCCATTTGTGGATTGGATCTTTAAATTTGGGGGCAGGTCTGGTTTTTTTCAGTTCACTATATGTTCTACATATTAGAATAGCTGAGGAATGGTTGGGAAAAAAAATTTCCCCTTTCTGCGGATTGTCTTTTCGATCTGTTGGTGGTCTCTTACTGTGCAAAAGCTTTTTAATATGAGATCCCAGTTGTTGATTCTTTGCAATATTTCCTGTGCAATCAGGGTTTTATTTATAAAGTCTGTGTATACCTATGTCTTTAAAAGTTTTACCTGTTACAGTGGGCATGGTGGCACACACCTGTCAACCTAGCACTCAGGACGCTACCCAGGAGGATTGCTGTGAGTCTGATATTAGCCTGGACTACATAGTGAGTTCAGGACCAACTGGGACTACACAGTGAGAACTGTCTTGAAGGAAAAAAACCAAAAAACCAGATTACTAGTTTTACCTATTCTATGTTCCAGCATATTAAGTATTTCTGCTTTAATATCCGGATTTTTTTTTCCTGTCTTTTTGAGTTCATGCCGTTCAGGCTGACCTTGTATTCACTCAGGCAAGAGGATCATAAATTTGAGGCCAGCCTGGGTAATTTAATGAGAATCTGTTTTTAAAAAACAAAACAACAGCAAGAAGCCTGGGTATGTAGCTCAGTGGGAAGGCCTTGGATTAAATCTTCAGTATTACCCCCTCTAAAATACATGGTATATACACATATCAAAACATTGTGTGATATCTGTTAATATGCAGGGTTTTTGTGGGGTTTTTTTGCTTGTTTTTTTTTTACTGGAGCACAACTGCAGTCTTTTTAAATTTCACTTATTTTATGTATTTTTTGAGACAAAGTCTTGCTATGTAGTTTGGAATGTGCTTGAACTTACTATGTGGTCCAGGTTGTTCTCAGACTCACAGTGATCTTCCTGCCTCAGCCTCCCAATGCTAGGACTACCATGCTTCACCAAGCCTAGCAGCCTTCACTTAATATATTCTCTCTCTATCTCTTTCTCCGTCTCTCTCTCTCTCTCTCTCTCTCTCTCTCTCTCTCTTTCATTTTGTGTTAGTGTTACTGGGTATTGAACCCAGGGTCTTTGGTCTCTGGGGTACATCCCCAGTCCTTTTTTTTTGTTTTGTTCATTTTGGCATTTAGAGGCAGATTCTTGCTACATAGTTCAGACTGGCCTCCAACTCACTGTGTAGCCCAGGCTGGCTTCAAATTTGTAGCTATCCTCTTGCCTCAGCCTCTCAAATGCTAGGATTATGGGTGTGCACCACCACACCCAGATAGGGTGACTTTTTTTTTTTTTTTTTTTTTGGTACCTGGAATTGAACTCAGGACCTTGCACTTACCAGGCAGGCACTTATGCCACTGAGTTATATTCCTAGCTCCTAGAGGGACTATTTTTAAAAAAATATTCAGCTGACAGAAAAATTAGACTTTTTTTGCAAGTACTTGAACCCAGGGCCTCATACATGGTAGGAAAATGACATATTAAAATTTTTAAAAAATTAAGTTAAATATACTGCCCTTATGAATCAGACCTTCCAGAGTAAGGCTTCTGCGCAACATTGTTAAGCCAAGAGAAAAGACATCAACCAAGGAAAAATTGATATATAATGAATGAAAGTCCCTGAGGACAGAAAGGGGACTTTTTAAAAAACATGGCACCACTGAGCAATACTATTATTTATTTATTTACTGTATCTGGCGGCTGTTTCCAATCTCAGTTGCCAAATTCCCACATTGAAACTGTTCCCACCCTTCCTGTGTCCCTTGAGCTGAGCAGGCACTTCCTGTCCCATTGGAAATGAAAGTTTGTGGGTGGATATGTGTGGTGTATTTACTCTGCCAGCACTGTCTGTCCCATTATCATAGCAAAAAGTGACAGGAAAAGCAGACTAAAGGCCTGGACTTCATTGAGGGAGGGTGTGGGCTTCGTGTTTATTGTAACAAAGTAAGACAGGATTAATTTTTGTCTGGAGAATACTTATGATGACAACAAGATGGTCTTATGAAGGGATCTGAAGTCTCTCATTCTACATCCCTGTTTCACTTGGATGAGCAGGGTTTCTGGGTATCATTCTTAAAGTTTTGGTTTCCTGCAAGTTTCTTTTCTTACTAAGATACTTCTTCAAGGGCATTTCTTTGTAACTACCAGAGGTGAGTGTTTTTGCAATGGTGTTAGGTTCTTGATTTTTAAATTATGTTTTTTCCTAAGAAATTCTATGTATTTTTCCCATGAAGCATATGGTTTTTAAATATATGTATATACATATATATATATATATATATATTTTTTTTTTCTAGTTCATAGACAACTTGAAGCAGACATCCCAATTCTGTGAACATCAATTTGGACATAAATTCCAGGTTTGGTAAGTTCCTATAGTTGTTTCAGCTTTATAGATCTTGAAGAATAGGAAATAGAAAGATAAAGAGTCAAATAACATAGCTTCCAATTTTTAAAGAAATTGCAGGCCCCGAGGCTCATTGCGCAGGTGAGTGTAATGCCTTCTTCAGTGTGAGCTCCTTCCTCAGAGCATCTAGAACAGGAGTGGCAGGTGCCAGTCAGTGTAACCCCAGAGAAACACAGTATCTAAAGATCTGAAATTAGTTATTTCCCATACCTTTTCATTTTTGCTGTTCTTTGGTGTGATCCTCTGTTTCTTTTTAGTTCACTAGGTCATCTAATAAACCGGCAGGTGGCATACACCTATAATCCCAGTATTCTGGGAAGCTGGGGCAGGAGGATCCCAAGTTTTTTTTTTTTTTTTCCCCTACAAGAACAGTTGAGTAGAGGATCCCAAGATTAAGCCCATCCTGAATAACTTAGTGAGTCCCTGTCTCAAAATCTTAAAAAAGAGCTGGGGCTATACCTCAGTGCAAAGGTGGTCCTGGGTTCGTATTCTATATATATTCATTCCCTAAATATAAAGTAGGGGAAGCCTTACTATTATTATTATTATTATTCTTTTGGTACCAAGAATCAAACTCATGACCTCACACTTACCAGGCAGGTGCTGTGCCGCAGCGCTCTATCCCTAGCCTCCATATCTTCAAAGCAGTGTCTCAGTGGTCCTTTAAATATACAGCTTGAAATGTTATAGATGAAATCCGAAGGGAAAGGGAAATTTTCTTTGTTTTCTCAAGAAAATCAGAATTTGTTCATAGAAGAAAGGATATGAATTTGAAAGGACTTAGACCTAAGAACTCTTCTTTCTCGAGGTAACTACTGAGCCTATGGAAAAGAAAGAAAGAGAACGCCTCGGACTTTAGGACCCAGAGGAGGCGGCGCGAGCGTCCCACCCGGGTTTACTCGGCGGCCGAGTGACGCCGAGGAGCAGCCCCGGCTCCGCTCACCCACAGCCCCCTCCCACCTCTCCTGCTCCTTTTCTCCCTTTCTCCTCCCCCGTTCTCCCTTTCCCTCCCTCTTTCCCTCCCTCCCTCCCTCTCCCTTCCTCTTTCCCCTCCCTTTCCTTCTCCCTCTCCTCTCTCTCAGCTTCCCAACATTAAAGAGAAAATGCTGCTATCAGTGACTTCCAGGCCTGGGATTTCGACTTTTGGCTATAACAAGAACAACAAAAAGGTAGAGAAACGCGCTTTTTTTGGACTCAGGCTACTTCCTTTTCTGGGGATCCCGGAGTACCCTCGGTTTTCGCCTTCTCCTTTAAGAGGGGCACCAGATTCCTCTCTCCGGCTCCTGTCTCAGCGCCTCTCCCTTTTCGCCACTTCTTTGGGTGCTTTTTCTCACCTGGTTCTGGAGTTCAAGGAATTTCCAGTCTCTTTATGTGAGGCCCTAGGAGACAGGGAATTAAAAGCAAATCAAACTTTCCAGCTTGTTATCCTTTGAAATGAAGTTAGTGTGACTTCCTGCTGATGCACTAACCTCCACGGCGGTAATATGTCCTCTCAGACCCCGTCTCCCGGCCCACCCCGAAAGATTGTTCTGTCTTTTTCAGGAACCGCTTGTTCTCCCTCAGCCTGCCTCCTCCCTCCCCGTACCACCTACCCTCGGTTTGCTGAAATCACAGGTAGTCAGTGAAAGCGCTCAGCTCAAGACCTGGGTGTGCTCTGCAGGACTGGGGCCCTGCCCTACCCAGCCCCTGGAGAAGGAGCCTTGAGAGTTGCCGAGCCTTGGGATTGAGGCAGAAAGCTCCGTGCTTGGGGGGGGGGGGGTCTTGTTTTGGAGCTGATTCTGGGAACTAGGTCCTTGGAGTCTTTATGACTAACCACCCATCGGCTGCCTGCCTGCCTGAGAGTTGTTCTGGTTCTGCGTTTGAGTACATGGGCCATCTAGGGAAAGATCAGCAATCCTTGTCCACAGTTGCCGGCGTTATCTTTGAAAGTTTTTTTGGCATTTCAGGACAGACAGTCCTGATTAAGAGGAACTTCGCACTGTAGCATGAAGACTCCATTCACTCTCGGTGTGTTATAGCTGTTCTTTGAAGAAAAAACTTGTTATAGATATTTAGAGGTTTTTTTTTTTTTTTCACTTACGTAAAGAAAAGTTAGAGGGTCTAGGTTTACCTAAAGAGACCATTACAGGTAGATTTAAGTACAACCATCTGACCAGGATGGTGGGTGAATGTTTATAGACCCAAAACACTAGTGTTAGTTTATGGATGTTACTTGGAATGCTATGCATTCTATGTCCTTAAGAATTAAATTTTTTTTTTTCTTTTTCGTTTTTATCGGTACCAGAGATCGAACTCACGACTGCCTGCTTGCAAGGCAGGGGCTTATGCTGCTGAGCTAAATCCCCAGCCCCAAGAACTAAATATTCCTATATATTTGTTGGTTATTTATGTATGTATGTACTTATACTGATACCCCTATCAATTATTATATATTATACAAGTATGTTTGAAAGGGGACTATTTGATCTGTCTTTATTCTCTTCAAATCTAGGTAGCACTGAACTATATAGGTTCTCTTCCTTATTGTTTCCCTTCAGTTTTCTCAGGTCATCCACAGCCCCATTAAAATAAAGTAAAATGAATCCCCCCAATTAGTTTTTCCCAATTTTAAAGTTTCATGTATTTGAAGATGTCTAAAAATCTCTTTTATCAGCTCTCTACTTCCTCTCCTTTCTCAGTATGGGAAACTTTAACCAACTTTTAAGTCTAGTATAGTATTGGGGATGAATGGTATGTTCATGAATTTGGATTCAAATTGTGTATCTGTTCCTCATAACTTGTGAGATATGAGCAGCAATTCCAGAAACATTGGGAACAGTAGGCAGGTAAGGAGAGGAAGTAGACTTATAAGCACCAATACTTTCAGGACTCTTTGGTTTTTTTTTTTGGGGGGCGGGGTACCAGGGATCAAACTCAGGAACTTGCACTTGCCAGGCAGGCGCTTATGCCGCTGAGCTAAATCCCCGCCCCGCTCTCTGGTTTCTTACAGCTCGGGGTGCAAGGTATGTGCATCATGGCTGTGTATCCAACTCTGTGTGGACACAGAGGCTTTCAGTGTCAGATGGATTTAAACTCATGCAGTATCACAATGTTCTTTCTTTTGACATTGACATATGGGACCATATATATATATATACACACACATTTTGGGGGGTTGCTTAATATATTTGTTTCTCTGTTTGGAGAAGATTTTTTTTCTCTTTTTTTGGGGGGGTATCGGGGATTGAATTTATCAGCGTGCACTTGCAAGGCAGGCACTTACACCACTGAGCTAAATCCTTGGCCCTAGAAAAGAACTTTTTTTTTTTCTGATGCTAGGGATTGAACTCATGACCTGGTACTTCTAAGCAAATGCTTGTGCCGCTAAGCTAAATCCCTGGCTGGAGAAGAATATTTTGAATGTACTTACTTATGTAATTTTTACTGTTTTTACCTAAGGTTAAAATTTTAAAATGACTTCTATTAGTGTTTAGTGATAAATGTAAGACATACTTACATTTAAATTAAGCATTAAGAAATTAAAGAAACTTCTCTTTGTGTTCTGTAGTACTTTGCTCAGATTCCACTCTTCAAGGACAATGACTGGTAGCAGTTTGGTGTCTGTGCCTTTACAAGCTTTTTGAAAATGCCAAGATGGAGTTTTAATTTTGATAGTAGTTAATTTTCCATTTCTGTGATAGCAATTTTAGCCTCCCAGCAATTTATTGACATAGCAAAACTGTCTTAAAATTAAAAAGGACTGGGGAAGTAGCTCAGTGTTAAGGCCTCGATTCAGTCCCTAGTGATACACACACACACACACACACACACACACAGAAAGAGAAAGAAAAGATCTGTTTCTCAAGTAGAACAAGTCCATGTAATAAAGTTCTTGGACTTGTCCAAAATGTTTAAAACATGGAAATAGAGCTGGAAGTGTAGCTTAGTGGCAGAATACAGGCGTGGCAGGCACAGACAGGGCTGTAGTTTCTATCCCAGCATCATCTTTCCCCTTAGAAAGAAAACTAAAATAAAAACCAATCAAATTATAAATACCTGTTACTGTCTTTAAATAAGGGGAATTTTTATACTGACTGTTGGCTATATTCATCAACTTTAGTTTGTGGGATAAAAAAATAATTGCTGGTGGTATCAGCTTGAAGAACTGTTTGTACCCCACTGTTGGGACTTCCTTGAAGTGTGTTAATTTTATTTACTTGACTTTAAAAAGTAGTATTATTTCATTTTGAAACTGGGGGTGGGGATATAGCTCAGTAGCACATCTCCTGCCTGGCAATTGTGAGGTCCTAAGTTCAATTCCTGGTACGATTCCAAAAAAAATTGAAACATACTTATATACTTCACTTATAGGGAAAAGTTGTTGCTAAGAATCTCATGATGATCCTAGTTTTCTTATTCTTTTTTTGACTGGTGATAAAGGAATGCAGTTAGAATGTGTAATGTCTAATAAAGCAATTCTGTTTTGGGATGTCATGTTAAATTTCCATTCATTTCTTTGGAATTAAAATAGTTACCGAAGAGGGAAATGTGAGTCTCAAAAAGGAATTCTGCAGTATCATTTAATGTACTTAAAAAAAAAAAACATTAGTTTTAATTGCCTTTAGTTACTTTTGGTTAGTTAGCAAAACGGTTGAAGCAGAAAGATTAGTTCTTCCATCTCTGTTTCTGCAGTGTTTGAAGAAATTGCCTCCGCAGTGAGAGTATGAGAGACTGAAAGAGGAAGTGTAGAGAACTAGCGGAATTTCATCCTTGGAAAGGGCCCTCCCATGCCTTTCCCTGACGTCATCCCCCAGGCATGTGTTAGTACAGTTTAACTCCTCATAGCGTTAACAGTCATTTCCTTTGGAAAAAAGAAAAGAGGCTGAGCTTCACTTCAAGAATTTGTCTTTCCCACCTATTTTGCATACATTTCCGTTTTCTCTTACTGTTAATATATTGAGGGCCTTTGTGGGAGCCGGAGGCAATGATGAGAGGAGGACTCACCAGTGGGTACTCCTGCTCCAGACTCTTTGAGAAGCTTCAGTTACCTGAGATTGTCAAAAGTGTTTACTTAGGAAAGAGAAGAATGTAGGAAATAACATTATTATCATTCATACTTTTTTTTTTCTACTGCTCCTGAGATGAGATATCATTCATACTTATGAGAGAATTTTCTGTGTGTATGTGTTTACTATATTTCTATCTAGTTTCTGGCAAGTGAGATGTAATAAAAATGAGTACTAACAATATTTAAATCTAAAAGCTCTTGCTTGGGCAGCTTTTTCTTTTCTGAGGGGAGATCTCACTATATTGCCTAGGCTGGCCTTGAGTCTCTTAGAAAACTCAGGGAATTCCCTGCCTCAGCTTCCTGAGTAGCTGGGACTAGAGTCATAGATCACCATGCCCTGTTTAGAATAAATATTAGTTCTGTTATTCGTAATAAGTTAACTTAAATGGTTGCAATTTAGTGATAATATATTAGCATTAACCTGTCTTCCCATTTTTAGCAGTGCTACCCTATTTTATGCTCTCAATTTTGACTGTACTTCAGGGTTGTCCCTCCAGTACTGGTTACTGAACCTAGAGGCAGTCTACCCTGGGCTGCACCCCAGCCCTTTAATTTTTTTTTATTTTGGGACAGGTTCTCACTAATTTGTCCATACAGGCCTCAAATAGCCATTGATTTTGTTCATATAGAGATAGTTGATGATTGTGACAAGCAGTTTCAGAAGAGTAGGAAGCAAATGTGAGACCTGAATGGCTTGATGAGTAAAAGACTGTAAGGAAGTATAGATGGCTTGTAGAGGCTAATCCACCAAGTACATGAACAACAGAACCCAAATAAAAAGTAGAGAAAAGATCTAATTTGAGTAGATAGTTCTCCAAAGGACTTCATAGGGGCAATGAAAAGATACTTAACAGCATTAGCCGCCAAGGAAATGCAAATCAAAAATCCACTTCACAGAGGCCCGGGGATTTAGCTCATGGCATAAGCGCCTGCCTGGCAAGTGTGGGGTCACAGAGTTCAATCCCTGGTGCAAAAAAAAAAAAAAAAAAAGAAAGAAAAAGAAAAAAAAATCCACTTCACATAAGAGCCTGCCTTGCAAGCAGGCAGTCGTGAGTTCAATCCCCGGTACCGATAAAAAGGAAAAAAGACCTCCCCCCGCCCCAAAAAAAATCCCCTTCACACCCACTAAGACGTGCAATAAAAAAGACAGGTAATAATGTAGAGTAATAGGAACTTTCAAACTCTGCTAATGGCTATGGAAAATGATGCATTGCTTTAGCAAACAGTTTGGCAGTTCCTTAAAAGGTTATATAGACCCAGGAATTCTACTCTTAGATGCATATCAAGAAGAAATGAAAACATACGTCCACACAAAAACTTGCACATGAATATTAATAGTAGCCTCATTCATTGCAACTCCAAAATGGAAACAAACCAAATTTCTATTAACTGATGATTGGAGAAATAAAATACAAAAGAATGCTGTTCTGCAGTATGAAGAAATGAAATACTGAGACATGCTACCAATCAAATGACCCTTGAAAACATCCTAGGACTGGAGTCCGAGGCAGAGCACTTGCCTAACATGCATGGAGCCCAGGGTTGGATTCTCAATAGGGGAGAACAAAAGCAAAAATCAAACATGCTAGCGAAAGAAGGTAGTGAAAGAAGCTGATCATAAAAACTGTGTATTATAAAAACAAAACAAAACTGCATATTATATGATTCCACTTATATGAAATGTCCAGAATAGGGAAATCCATACAGATAGAAATTGGATTAGTGGTTGTCTTTCTAGGGCACTGGTGGGGGAAGAGACTGGGGGGGAGGAGATGGGAAGTAACTGGAAATGAGTATTGAGTTTCTTTT